GTATATGTGCACGATCCTTCGCAGTAAAGCACTATTTAAGCAATAGTGAAAATCAGACCTGAAAAAAATTCAGGCCTGTACGGGATTCGAACCACTGACCTCTGCGATACTAGTGCAGCGCTCTACCAATTGAGCTAACAAGCCAACTGGGAGCAGGCCATCAAATTAATTCGACATAAACCCGTAGATGATAAATCAAACAACAAACATATGAAATACATATATATGAACTGCGGTTATGAAACGTATATGTGCACGATCCTTCGCAGTAAAGCACTATTTAAGCAATAGTGAAAATCAGACCTGAAAAAAATTCAGGCCTGTACGGGATTCGAACCACTGACCTCTGCGATACTAGTGCAGCGCTCTACCAATTGAGCTAACAAGCCAACTGGGAGCAGGCCATCAAATTAATTCGACATAAACCCGTAGATGATAAATCAAACAACAAACATATGAAATACATATATATGAACTGCGGTTATGAAACGTATATGTGCACGATCCTTCGCAGTAAAGCACTATTTAAGCAATAGTAAATCAATTACTCTTTGATCCCTATCGTCTTATAATTTGTTATAGAGAAAGATCTTAAGGAAAGGAGTTTAAGTTTCAGGACCTCGAGAGCTTCTCACATGGGATTAAAAAATGTTACCGGGTAAGTCTTGGCCTTTTCCTCGTTTACCTTTGACTTCCTTTGATAGATATCTTCCTCTTGCACATTTCTAGCCATTCCAAAGTCTGTCACTTTACACGTTTCATTTTCTCCAACCAATACATTACGGGCGGCGAGGTCTCGGTGGATAATCTAGCAATAAGAAATAGAATTAATTGAGATTTTCAATAATTGTTGAGTTCATTCATTTTGTGCGTGGTAGTCGTTCCCGTTGCCGCCAAAATATTCTTCAAGAAAAAGTGTGAAAACTATTTCTTCTCGGTGCGGAGTTTGGGGACCTTAAGTTGGGAGTTTCTGAAGATCTTTCACTTCAACAAGGCGCAGCGAGAAATGAAGGATCAAAATGGTGCAACAGGTAAGTTATTAAAGTGCATTTCAGTTATGTATACATTTGAGAGGTGTTGGAGAGAAATTATCGTTGCTCTCGGCGTTCAAAGCGTCCTTTTCGTCCTCCAAACGAATGTCTTCAATTAATTTAAATCTGGAATTTCGTTCTGTGTGGCGCCAATTCTCAGGACATAAACATGTTTCAGTTTTCAACGGATTTATTGCCAGAATACAAGGTAGGTGTTTGACAAATAAAAGTGCACGTTGTGTCTAGGTTATCATATCCAAAAAGGTGCTTCAAATATGATCACTCAGCTGACCTCCCTTTTAATAAACCTTCATGTACAGTTAAGTAGCTAAAACTATGATTGATCAGCCACATAGAGCAATTGTTTGCAAGAGTAAATCTGTAACGATTGCTTTTCGAATTAGGCTAAGAAATGTTCCACAGGTGTTTTAACTTACAGACTTTGACGAGAAGTAACACATGCCATCGGCGATTTGCCAAGCAAACTTCATCAGCTGTTATGATGTCAGATCTGTTTGGGGTTTAATATCCGGATCTTTAAAGTAGGTGTCATTAAATCCACGGCTCTTTCTCAAGTATCCCAAGAGGTCTCCAAAAGGAACATACTCGATCAATACCAAGAGTGGCTCTAGAAAAGAAGGATAGGACATAGTTCGACGCTGCTTTTATCCTTACATGTGATTGTCCTTACAAGTGATGATCTCTTGAATTACTTTTGAGAAATTATATGACTAGCCCAAGCGTAATTGTGATAAAGGAACCTACAGCAACCGCAGCTTAATCAACGCTGTTTGAGTTAAAATCAATTTCTAGACGACAGATCAAAGCTAAAGCGGACACACTTCACATCATGTGGCATTAAAAGTCACTTTACTGGTGACATCAGCTGGTTTGCTGGCCTAGAACAGGCAACTCTAAATGGATTTCTATATTCATGAGGTGAAGAACGAAGAACAACAGAAAGCTTAAAAGTTTAGAAAATAGCTAAAAGTTTTAAAATAGAAAATGACTAACTAAAACCTACAAATTTTATAAAGGCTGATAGTTTCGAAAGAAACTGTCTGGGGCTGCGTCGGTGGGAGTAACGAAATAATTTGGATATATCAACAAAGTTGAAATGGTAAATTGGTTACCGTGACGATTACAAAATCTGACGTTTCGAGCGTTAGCACTTCGTCGGAGCAAACTAGACGTTGTTGTAGCCTTCTAGATGAATATAATTGTAGATGGGTGAGCAATAGCACGATTCCTCTCACCAGAATCCGAAACACATCCTAAAAGTTTGATCACGTGGGGATGCTCTTTCAGCTGCTTCATTGTGTCCAATTCTTTCATCAGATCTCTTTTGTCCGATTCAGCAGAGTCAGCTGAGAACAAAACGAAGTACACGTAATGACATTGCATGCGCCATTCAATCACCATTAATGTTCGCCCAAAAACGTGTCATGACTCTCAAAGAAAATAACATA